GAAGTCGGAATGGTAATAGACCAAGAGCAAGGGAGATGATGGAAATTTAAATAGCTGGGGGAAATAGCAACAGCATGGTGTGGGCGGATGAAAGGCGGAGGCACCCAATTGGCTGCCTTTAGTAAGGACAGCGAGCGCGAGCAAAACAGTATTTTGTGTGAAGGAATATGTGAATTCAGACACGACGAATACAGACGTTACAGCGAAATGAGATTGCAGTTGGGTTGTATTCGGTGACGCTGAGACGCAGACGTAAGAAGGACAAAATGTAGGTAGCAATTGGGTGTTGGGCCGAAAAGCAGAGCTGGTTTGCCACGCTCCTGGGCCGACTGACTTCCGATAAGCCAGCTTGATCATGGGGACAGAGTAGCGCGGTCGAGAGCAGTTTCGACAGAGGGTGGCAGCCGGGCCAGACTTCCCCAGGACCAAGGATGACGAACGTTTGCCCCTCGAAGGGTGGGGAGACTGATGGTTTCCGCTGGCACACTGAACGCTTCGGCAGACTTTTCGTCCGCCTGCACCCCCACCGACGTCAGCACGCCCACCCTTACACCTTCGAGCCGCGGGCGGTCGGAAACGCAGCCAGCTCGAAAGGCACGCGAGCCGCCGGCCTGCCCTATCGGCGGCATCGTCGGCGTCGACACCCGTCACCGACCGTCGGGACGGGGGGGAGGGGGAGGGGGACTATTTCCGCGGCCGCGCACGGACGGAGCCACCGTCAGAGGTCAGCTGGGGTCAGCACCGCTTCCGGGCCGGTGCGGCGACACTCCAGGCCGCCGTGCGCAGGCGTCCCCCCCCCCCCCCCCCGGATGAGGGATGGCGGCGTGGTATTTATGCGGGGCTCGCTCGGCTCGGCTCGCACGGCGGCGGATCGGCACCGGCACGTGGTGCGGGCCACGCACACGCGTGCGCGTGCCGCTGCATGCGTGCCGGGCGGTTGGGTTTGTGCGGGCGTGCTCTCGAGCAGTGTGTGCACAGGTGGGGCGTCTTCACGGCTGGCACGCGCGCGTGTCAAGACCGACGCATGCTGGCGTGCACGAATGCGTGCAGCGACCGGAAGTGCCGTTAGTCGCGCGCTGCGTGTGCGTGCACAGCCTCGAAAGAGCCATTGCAGCGTTTAGGCGAGATCCCAACAAGCCCTTCAACTGCATCTTAAACTGCAGTTATGTTTGCAGTCCTCTTCACCGCCGTCCGAAACCTGCGCACCGTCCAATCAGTATGCAACGAAGCCCCAAGTGACGGATGGCGGGTCATTGCCGTGACCGGGCACGGCACCATGCATCATCGCGCCGCCGTGTCTTTCACGTCGCATCGGTCTAACGGTGCACGTGCCTGGCCGTTGCGCACAGTCAGGCGCATGTTTTTTCAGCAGTCACGCTGACCCATTGCACATAACGGCGGCGAATTTACTGCCCTGTTGTGACGAACGGGCGCGGGATGCGCGGATGCCGACTGCTCGAAATGCGCGACCGATCTCGTTTTTTGGCGCCGCCCTCTTTTGCGTGCAGAGTTACGACGCCATTAGCGTGGAAGTTTGACGTTAACTGTCGCCGGCCGGCCATCATCGCCCGCGTCGTATTTTTCACAAATTGACAGAGACGAGCCGGCGGTCGACGGACTAGACGAGCGAGCGCCGAGGCGAGCCGGCGAGGCAGAGGAGCAGGCGCCGAGGCGAGCCGGCGGGCCAGAGGAGCGGGCGCCGAGGCGAGTCGGCGGGTCGGAAGAGCAGGCGTCAAGGCGAGCCGGCGGGCCGAGGAGCAGGCGTCGAGGCGAGCCGGCGGACCGGAGGAGCGGGCGCCGAGGCGAGCCGGCGGGCCCGAGGTGCGGGCGCCGAGGTGAGCCGGCGGCGCGGAGCTCCGGCGGGACTGCCGCTGCGCCGGCCGCGCCTGGGGACCAGCCAGCGCCGGGAAGTTGACGGCGTCCTGACCTGTCCACTCTCGCGGCTAATGGACGGATGCCGTGCGGGACGCGGCTGAGCCCGGCGGCGGGGAGGGGGAGGGGGCGCACCGACCGAACCGCAGACTGCACGCTTACCGGCATCGATTTGTCATTACCGGCGACGTGGCCGAGCGGCGGCGGCCCATGAGCGGCGCCTGAGTACAGCGCTGTCACTCAGGAGTGGGACAGTCGATGGCAGTGGCCAGTTATCGGAATGGAGTATTCGAAGACGCTATGCTCCCTTTAGCTATGTGTTTAAGATACATGGATGATAGTTCACAAGATCCAGTAAAATAAGACAGTGGTGTGAGACATCTTCACGGCTTACAGTTAAAGCTGAGGAGATATAATGTGAATAAATCAATCCCATCCTTTGAGACAGCACCGCTGTTGGATAAGACACTAAATAAGACATAAATAAAGCCAAAGACACCTCAAATGACAATCAAATCTTAAGTTCCAAGCAACTGACTATTTCCGACTGCAAAACGAAACCCAGAAGCAGTCCCAAGGCAATCTTTAAGTTGCTCAAGATGAGGAAAAGTGCATTATGCAAGCTAATAAGAACACACCAGCCTGTGCATAGCGCACGGCAAACCATCATATCAAACCAGGCTCGACGTTTTGTCCGCATGTTGTCCTCTATTCCCGAGGGCGTTGGCTGCACAGACATCAGTGTGCGTCTTTCGAAACAAGTCTTGCGACGCGCACTATCACTTCAGCAACATGGAACTATGCGCCGAGTTACCTCAAACCAGGATGCCTATGAGATAAACAGCATTGAAATAGGAGATCCTCTTCTTCCACTGAATATTCCAGTCACGTTGATCAACAATCACGTGATGCACATCTCATTTCAATCAAGAGCGGCAGCTTTCGCGCGTCAGTAGATCAAGCACTAGCTGTGAGTACACATGCAGTGCACCCTGTGGTAAATAGTCATCTCTTTCGTTCTTTTTCACTGTGTTTTGAATGTACTTTATCAAAGTGCAGTGTTATAGTCAAACCAGTATCGACTTCAACGTATTTCACCGTATTGTATCAATAGTCCACAGTTCCATTGACGAAGCATTCGATAGAACACAGGGCTCTTGAAGCACTATAAGGCTATGCGAATCCCAGATGCTGTGGCTTTTGTGGCCACGACGTAATACCGCAAATGCAGCTTACGAGGGACTTCTGCAGGTTGACGCTGTTGTTGAGGGATATGTGGAACACACGAAGTACCACCGACATATTTTTGCAAGGTCAAGAGAGATATGAAAGTTGGGCGGCTAGTCATCTTCGCAGCATTTGTCAATCACTACACTATCGAGCTCCCGGCTGGTTGAACTGCATCAAACCTGACCTGGAATGCTGCCCACTAGATGTGCCCAGTGCGGGTCTAGTCTGGATTTAAACTGATGTATTGTATCGGAGGCCACCACACAGTAGGGACGAGCGTTCCAGCCGCTGGGAGCTCTCATGCCGAAGGTGTTCTTTATGACCGGCATCATCGCTCAGAGCTTCAGCTTCCAGGCTTCCCCACGTGGAAGCTGTGGCGGGCGAGAAAAACTCGTCTGGATCGAGATCACTAGCCGAGTGCAAGATCTGGTAGACTGCGACCGTGTCCTCGGCACCTGCGATGGTAAAGGGATAACTGGTCGAGGATAAGGAGCCCCTCGCGGCGCGGCCCGGTCCTGATGTTTTGCACCAGCTTGGTCGTGCGTTTCTTGGCACGTCCCACCAGCTCCCGGCCAGCACGGCCGTTTTAATTCGAGCGGAATCTTCAGCGTTCTTTCGATCTTTAGTGCGTGCCTTCTCGTCGGGCTGACCTCCGCGTCTGTTTTTAGTCACTCTCAGCTCCGCGATCCAGCTCAATAATCTAATCAAAGTCGGTCAACCAGAATCCGTACAAAACCGGCCAGCGTCCGTCCCAGGCCTCGAGCCAAGCCGGAATTAGCCCTGTTCTTCTGCGACCGGGCACCTCGATGCCGGCCAGCGCCGGACGTCGGGTCGCCGGCGTTCGATTTGGCGATGGTGATGCCCTGTGGCAGTCTGAAGCCCAGCTGCAGGCGGCGTCGACCGCAGTCCGCGTCCAGATGACGTCCGCCTGTTTCCATAATTCACCGCGGCCCAATGCCAGCGAGCGACCCGAGCAGGAAATCGACAATGACAGGCTCGTTATACCGCCGAGCGTTTGGCGGCGGAAATGCCGAAAAGATCAGTCGGATGCCATTCAGCGCTCCGGTGCTGCATACGTCGGGGTTGTGTATCAAAAGATCGCGTCTTCTTCAAACAGGGGCGTCCTTTCAGTGGTAGCGATCGGTCTTTCATCTCGCGGGGCATGGATGCAGATCAGGTGTTGGGCAAATATCGCGCCCGAACAGGATGCGAAATATGCGCTCTGATTCGCCTCATATGCATATGGCGGTGACAGCCGATCCACTGCATTGGCGGAGAACCGTCTCGACTGGCGCACAGTGCCCAGCTCCAGCGCTGTGAAATTACCAGTGCTTCTTGTGTATTCTATTGGTTCAGATTCATTGGACCGCAACAAAAAGGCTGTTTCCTGGAACAACAATTATTTTTTCAAAGCGATGATATATTGCGTTGGAGAGATCTTCATCAAAGACTTCCATCAATCTACATTTTATTGCCTAGTGACTGATGGAGGACATGTTGGCTTAGCAGCGTGCTGCTGAAATGGCCGATTACGGAGCAAGAATTCTGAAAGCCCAGTAATCGGCTTTCTCTGACGGCTTTCGTAGATTTTACGCAAGGATTATGATTCCAAAGCTACGTGATGGGGCACCCGCGATCGCTGCGCCCCAAACGACGTTCTCAAAGCTGCACAAGAACGAAGAACGGCAATCAAAGCAGTCGTAACAGCCCATCTCCAGCCTCGTTACACTTTGCTTCTGACATTATCTAATGGTCTGTAAACTCGTGGCTAACTGTTGTTTAGTAACGCTCTGCGATATCTGAAAGGTCACCACCGGACAGCGGAAGGAGAGTCTGAAGCCATTTCTACCGCGCTTCCGTCGACACTTCCAACTCATCGACGTCTCGCTTCGTTTCAGCTGGAGCCGCTGCGGCCGGAGAGGCACTACGACCTGGTGGTGCGGCCGACGACGGAGGCCGGCGACGACCCGGCCTGCGACTGCGCCGGCCCGCCGCCGCCCCAGTTCCTGCTGCCGCCGCCGCCCGTCGAC